CACAAAAAAGTCTCTCTTAAGCATCCAGTAACCTTCATATCACTGGATGAAATAAATATCTTTTGGTCCTCTTGGTAGTATTGGATGCTGTGGTTACTGCCTCCACCATGAAACTTCTTTTTTGTCCCTGGCTTCTATCTCTCAACACTCCATGGAATTCTTCCTATCTCTCTAGCCAAGGTTTCTTCATCTTCTTTAGATTTCATCTACTGTACCTGGCTTGGTTCTAGAAACACGTCTATTCTCACATAATACCTGCCTCAAAGACAGCCTTGTCTGCAGAGACACAATGCACGATGCAGAAGGAAATGATGGACAAATAGATTTCTCTAGCCATGAAGTCCATAAGAGCCTGAGACCACGACTTCCGATTGCCTACTTGACATTCCCACTTAGATATCTCAGAGGCAGCCCAACATGGTCATAACAGAACTTATCATCTTTTTCACCAACTTAATCCTCTTCAGGGCTTCTCATCTAGTTGGGTGGCATCTACATAACATATTTTTGCACCAGTCAGGACCTGGAACATCCTTGACATTATCCTCTTCCCTACCCTGTTCCACCCCAAGCCAATCCATGGCTAAATTGTGCTAATATTTCCCTGCAGTAGCTTACAAATCTATCTTGTTGACACCATCTCTGTCACCTTTTTCCTGATTCCAGCTGCCATCTTCCCTAGACTAGATTGCAATATCCTCCTAACTGGTCTCTCCTCTCTTCTCTTCTCCCTCTTCTAATTAGTTTTTTGTTCTCTAAACAAAAATTTAATCACGTACCACCTTGCATAGAAATCCCCCAAATGGCTTCCCATTGCCACTAGGAGCATGACGAAAATATCTGAGGGTTCCAATTTCCCCCATATCCTCACCAAAACTTGTTACTGTTTTTTTATACCTTAGTGGATGTGAAATATTTCTTCATTATGGTTTTGATTTGCATTTCCCTAACGTCTAATGATGTTGAGCATCTTTTCATGTGCTTATTGTTCATTTGCATATCTTCTTTGGGGAAATATCTATTCAAATCCTTTCCCTTTTTTTAATTGAGTCATTTCTCTTTTATTAAGTTGTAAGAACTCTATATATGTTCTGGATACAAATCCCTTGTCTGATATATGATTTGCAATTATTCTCTTCTGTTCCATGGGTTGACTTTTCACTCTCTTGATAGTGGCCATTGATGCAGAAAAGTTTTCAATTTTGATGAAGTCCAATTTATCTATATTTCTTTGTTCACTTATGCTTTGGGTGTCATATCTAAAAAGAATTGCTTCAACCAAGGTCACAATGATTTACACATATTTTTTCTTCCAAGACTTTTATAGTCTTCGTTATTACATTTACATATATGATCCATTTGGAATTAATATTTTTAAACGGTGTGAGGTCCACATTCTTTTGCATATGGATATCCAGTTGTCCTATTGTCATTTATCAAAAAGATTTTTCTTTTTCCTGATAAATTGTCATGACATCCTTGTCAAAATATTAATTCATCATAAATGTTTGGGTTTA